TTGGATCTGACCTGGACAATCTGGACGACTTCCGGCAAATTGTTGCTGAAACCCAAAGTGAAGCACTACAAGAGGCCCGCTGCGACCATTCCCTTCCAGCCGCGCAGTCCAGTCATGTCGATTTCCAGCAACTTGACTGTGCCAGCCCGGGCATTGACACTGTTGTCACGGTCCTCTTGGGCGCTCCTGGTTATAGGTTAGAGAACCTCAGGGTAGAGGTCACCTTACCAGCCACAGTTGACCAACTTATTGACATCGTCCGAGCCTCCAGACCAGGGCTCATCGATGACTGCTGGGACCACGTAATTCCCACGATTCCTCAACTCAGCCAGGGCATCGCCTCCTTCGTCGTCGCACCTGTGTGGTTCGCCGAGGCTGCTAAGATCACCGCGTTGCTTGATGCGCGGGCGCTAGGTTCGACGGTGTTCCCAGTTGTGCTTTCATTGCCTACCAATCATGACGAGATTCATCGGGTGGCGGGTTTCCACTCGATTGCAGCTCGCCATGTTTTTGTCGAAGGCAGTGTTGAACCACTTTGGCCGGGACAGTTGATCAACTTGTATGACGGAGCCGTCATAAGATTGACAAGACGGGATAGACGCCCTCTATGGGCCCCACCGCTCTCTGCAGCACTCCTGCATGCTGCGGACTGGCAACAAGCCCCCACTCCCCCGAGGACAAGAGTTGCCAAATGTGTGCTATTGCTGCATGCCTCTGGCAAATTCTTGTTGAGCCATTTCACTTCGGATAGCTGGGATAATCTTAATAGGGCTGCCCGGCTCGTAGGCGTACCCCTTGCCGATGTCAAGATGCAGGCGGCTGATCCTGATGGTCTGCAAGACTATGTCTATCGCGGCACCCCTATCAAGGGTCTTGTTGCTGTCTTTCCCCGTGTTCCGGATCAAGGGGACCAGGCAGCCCCGCGTGAGGTTGTCATCTTTGTCGACATGCGACCGCTCGGCAGAGATGTCAACTTCCTCCTACTTCCCACTCGTGTCGTCTCCAGGGAGGCCCTCCGCAGATACATTGATGTTGATCCTCCGGAGGGTTGGCGGCTTGCTGTACGTGGGGGTAGAAAATGCCGAGAAGGTTTTGAGGTCTTCAATGGCGAGGTGCTTACTCTCGCATTCATTAGGCAATCCCCTCACCAGTTTGAGCAAGTTGAATCGGAGTCTGACTTCTCTGAGGACGATGAGGATCTCGGACGCGATGAGAGTTCAGACTCTGAAGGATCTACTCGGATTAGGTCGCCAAGTAAGCGAACCAGAACGGCTGAAAGTTCGGATCAGTCGTATCAAAGCCGTTTCGACGCACAGGACCCGTTGTAGTGGAGGGACAGTCCCGCTGCCAGCCGCCGAACGGACGCCGTCTTGCGAATGTTCGGTGATGCGCGGCGATTGCGGAGATGATCAAATGCATTTGCTTCTGCGCCTGACCATGTTGTGTTGCCAGCCGCCGAACGGACGCCGTCTTGCGAATGCTCGGTGATGCGCGGCGATTGCGGAGATGATAAAATGCATTTGCTTCTGCGCCTGACCATGTTGTGTTGTTCTTTGCGTGCGGCACTTCGCATCAGGTTCCTCCCTTAGTTCACATCGTTCATGCGATCTCGGCCGGGGCCTCGGAGTGTTCTACGGTGTCACTCACTTACGCTTCCAGCAGTAGTGTGCTCACTCTGCAGGTGTTCTGTCTCTAGTGCAACTGAGTGTGAGCCGCCATGGACTCGCGAGCGTCGACTTCATGGTCGTGGCATGAAAGTCATTGGGAGGGGCATGGGCCCGGATCGTGGTCAAGTTGGAAGGCCTCGGCCGTGTTGGCTTCTCAAGAAAACCGTGGTTGGGGGAACTCGACGTGGCAAGATTCGTCGTGGTGTTCTCAAGGAAACGATGGCTGGGAGAACGCAGCACGGCGAGATTCGCCCGGGCTGTCATGGAATGCAGGAGCTTCCAGCGGTCGCTGGGATCCAGAGTCCAAGCAGGCACCCCGGCCAGCGGAGTCCGGCGAGGTAGGAACCCGGGAA